TGGAGGAATCACGCTCCCTGACTTCAGACTCTATTACAAAGCTACAGTAATCAAAACAGTATTGTACTGGCACAAAAACAGACACATAGATAAATGAGACAGGTTAGAAAGCCCAGAAATAAACCCATACACTTACAGTCAATCAATCTACGATGAAGGAGGCAAGAATACACAGTGGAGAAAAGACAGTCTCTTCAATAAGTGGTGCTAAGAAAACTGTACAGCTACATGTAAAAGAATAAAATTAGAACATTCTCTAACACGATATGCAAAAATAAACTCAAAATGGATTAAAGACCTAAATGTAAAACCAGATACCTAAATGTAAAACTCCTAGAGGAAAACATAGGCAGAACACTCTTTGACATAATTCACATAAATATTTTTTTGGATCTCTCCCATAGAGTAATGGAAACAGAAGCAAAAATAAACAAATGGGATCTAATTAAACTTAAAAGCTTTTGCACAGCAAAAGAAACCATAAAAAAAAACCAAAAAGACAACCTACAGAATGGGAGAAAATATTTGTAAATGATGCAAAAAAACAAGGGCTTAATTTCCAAAATATACAAACAGCTTATACAACACAATATCAAAAAAAAACAAACATAAGATGGGCAGAAAACCTAAATAGACATTTCTCCAAAGAAGACATATAGATAGCCAATAGGCACATGAAAAGATGTTCAACATTGCTAGTTATTAGAGAAATGCAAATCAAAACACCTGTCAGAATGGCCATCATCAAAAAATCTACAAATAATAAATGCTAGAGAGGGTGTGGAGAAAAGGGAATCCTTCTATACTGTTGGTGGCAACCTAAACTGGTGCAGCCACTATGGAGAACAGTGTGAAGGTTCCTTAAAACACTAAAAATATAATCACCATAAGATCCCACTCCTGGGCATACATCCAGGAAAGAGAAAAACTCTAATTAGAAGAGATACAGGGGCTTCCCTGGTGGCTCAGTGGTTGAGAGCCCGCCTGCCGATGCAGGGTACACGAGTTCACGCCCCGGTCTGGGATGATCCCACATGCTGCGGAGCGGCTAGGCCCGCAAGCCATGGCCACTGAGCCTGCGCGTCCGGAGCCTGTGCTCTGCAACAGGAGAGGCCACAGCAGTGAGAGGCCTGTGTACCGCAAAAAAAAAAAAAAGAAGAGATACATGCACCCTTATGTTCACAGCAGCACTATTTACAATAGCCAAGACATGGAAGCAACCTAACTGTCCATTGGCAGATGAATGGATAAAGAAGATGTAGTGTGTGTGTGTGTATGTGTATATATATATATATATATATATATATATATAAAATGGAATATTACTCAGCCATAAAAAAGAATGAAATAATGCCATTTGCAGCAACATGGATGGACCTAGAGATTATCATCCTAAGTGAAGTAAGTCAGACAGAGAAAGATAAATATCATATGATATCACTTATATGTGGAATCTAAAAAATGATACAAATGAACTTATTTAAAAAACAGAAATAGGCTCACAGACATGGAAAACAAACTGATGGTTACCAAAAGGGAAAGGGGGGAGAGATAAACTAAGAATTTGGGATTAAAATATACATACTGCTATATATACAGTAAACAACAAGGACTTACCATATAGCACAGGGAGTTGTATTCAATGTCTTGTTTGGAAAAGAATATATATATATTATATATATATAAAATATATATATTATATATATAATATAATATATATATTTATATATATATTTATTAATTTATATAAATATATTTATATTTATATATATTATATATACAATTTATATATAATTTATGTATATTTATATAATTTATATATATTATATATTTATATATATTTATATAATTTATATATAGTATATATTTTTATATTTTATATATATTATGTTATATATATATATAAAACTGAATCACTTTGCTGTACACCTGAAACTTTATAAATCAACTATACTTCAATAAAATAAATGAATAAAATAATTAATCAAAGAAAAATGAAAATAAAATTGCTCATGTCAATGTCACCACCCTACCATCTTGTAGTCAAATGCTAACTTCACTCCCCTCATCTTATTAACCTCTCAGGAGTATTCACACTGTTAACTAGTTCCCCATTCTTTTCTGTGCCACAACACTTTTCAAAATTCTTATCTCCTTCTCAGTCTAATTAAGGAGGCCTATAGCACTGTGATTAAGAGCATGGACTTCTAGACTTAGCTCTGAAGACAGGTTGTTTCAGGAGTGCTTATGGCATGGAGGACAGACATAGCAAGAGAATGTTTCCCTTTCTTGAGCAAGATAGAAAACTAATCAGTATTTCAGGTGAGAAATATGGTGGTTTAGACTAGAGACTGGAGATGGAGGGAAATAGATTTTAGCTCTATTTTAGTAGTAGAACCAATAAAACTTTGCGATGGAACAGATACAGGAATTAAAGGAAAAGGGGAAATCAAGGTTTTGCAATAGAATAAAAAGCTAATGAACATTACCTAAAAAAATCACCAAATCTTAGAGATGATCTCATTTGATGCTTTTCCATTGAAACTGATACCTGGGAGAGGTTATGTGATTTACCCAAAGTCACATAGATAATTGGTGATAGAACTGAAACTGGAACACAAGTCTCTCAGAATCCTAAGAAGCCACAGATCAGGATCTGATAAGATGACTACTACAAGCTTGCTAAGCTATCACTTTAGTCCTTTTTCCCCCTAACCAATGCAATAAAAAATACTATAATACATTTTTGGGTTTACTGAATATAGTTAGGCAAGCTATTAACTGCACACTTTATACTGCCTTAAGAAAAAAGGGAAGGAAGTAGACAGAATATAAATATCAGTATTAGCTCATGAAGAGTAAAATCTATTCTAAAAGTTCATCAAAAACATTTGCTGAAGTATACTATTTGTAAAAGGCAAGGTACACATGAACTCCCCCTCGAGCAGTTACATTCTAATTTGCAAGATAACACACATATAAATAATTCAGGCCAATAAGGCAGTACTAGATTAATTGCCAAATTAATTATATAGACAATATATATATATTTTTAAGTACTCTGTAGTAGTCCTTTAGGAAAAGTAAGGCTTGAGCTAAGCCCTGATAGACAAGTAAGAATTTAAAAAGTAGATAGGGAAGGGAATTAAACAAACCTATAAAGAGTGTCCGCTAGGGTACTAGGCTCAGGGCTGGGGGATAGGGAGTGGGAAGAGTGAGCTTTTTATACATGTCTGTGGAGACATTCTCTTTGGTATGACATTTGAGCTGAGTCCTGAATGACAAAGAGGAACAAGGAATGTGCTGATGGGAGGAGAAGAGAACATTCTGAGAAAACAAGTACAAATAACCACTACATTACCTACCTTTATTAGGCTCTATAGATTGAATACACAAAGCTTAGCTGAAAGGTAAAAGAGTGGACCATACGTTCCTAAACCTGAGTTTAAATAATTCCACAAATTCTCTTTCTCATCTGTTTCTCCAACGGTAAAAATTACTGCATAGACGAGCATGGGATATAATGGACATAGAAGTGTTTTTAGAAATAGAAAAGTAAATATACCAAAATTGTAAAAGTCAGTTCAAAAAGACAAGAATGAAAAAGTGTTAATATGGTGCTTAGATACATAAAGTTAAAAGTGGACAAATGACTTAAAATCATTGCTGGTATGGGTAACAGTACTTTATACTTTACATATCTTTACATTTTCTCTTACTGTAGCTTTTTGTACATGTCTTATCTTCTTTGCCAGATTGTAAGCAGATATAGCACCTGACACATAGTATTAGCTAAACTGATGTATGAAGCCAGTACTTCATTTTACAGCCCTTTGAGGATTTGTGTTTGTGTATGTTCAAGATCCCATTTACTTGCAAATGATTGGAGGGGAATGATGATATCACGAAAAGTTAACAGAAACAAATATAGATGAAAACAGAATAAAACCTATCTTAAAGAGGATGGAAATAAGCCGCAGGTAACTGTTAATTACTACTGCTGGCTTTTAGTTGACATTCCCTGGCAGCCAAAGGAAGAAGGGAATCGGCTGAATCCCAGTGTCGCATTTAATCTACCACAAAGTTAGGCATTTAAATTCATCTACAGAGATCAACTTTTCCCTGGACCAAAACCACAAGGATCTTTGATCACAAGCAAATAACTGAGGAAAGGCACAGAGTTAATTATGAAGGGCTCCTGAAATTATGCAACTTGGTTCTGTTGCTTTCAGAGCAAAGATCTCTGATACCAATGGGACCACCAACCGGTGCCTCAACGACAGAATCCTCAGTTTTCTCCCTAGGGCTCTGGCCCAGGCTTGGCAGCCACAAAAACCGCACCTGGGTCACTTTATGGCCTCAACACAGTTAGCTGCTTGGTAGCAGCCTTGGATTCAGGCAGGGTCCGCGCCCTGCACTGGAAGCAATGCAGAGTCTTTGCCCCAGCCTTAGAAGGCAGGTTTCAGGGAGGGCTGCTAGGGTTGGAGTGTCTAGATGAGTTTCGGCCTAAGGGGACAGGGGAGGAAGGCAACTCAGGGCCGCGGGAAAAACAACTCTTGGGGGCACCACGCAGTCCCCTTCCTGCCACAGAAACCTCTCCCGCCCTGGAACATGAAGGAGCGGCACTGGCAGCCTAAGCCAAGAAAATTCTCTTCTCTGTGGATAATAGGGGCCGATCCTGGTCCCCAGGAATAAGACGCTACCATCCCACTCCTCTCTCACAGCTCAGAAATCACCCACCTGGAACTGCAGTCTCCGAAGTCTCCACCCCAGTCTCTGCCTCCACAGGCCTGATTGCGATTGGCTTGCACCTCTGTCCCGTTATCTCTTCTCCAAGTGTGAGTGGCGTTCTATACGCTCTTGGCCTTTGTCCCTCCCTTCGCTCGCCTCCGAAGCCCCGCCCCACGTGACGGTCACGCGTTGCCGCAAAGCGCAGAGGAGGGTCTCCACTTCCGCTCCCGGGGGAGGAGGTGGCAGAGTAGGTGGCGTGGAAGTGAGGGCTCTCGGTGAGCAACGTGCAGTTGACGTAGCGCGACGCTCCGCCCCCTCCGCCCGAGCGCCGGGAGGAAGTGGGTGGGGCACTTTTAGCGTCCGCGCCATCAAGCCCGAGGTGGCGGTGAGGTTTTCAGTGTATGGTTTTCCCCGCTAAGCGATTCTGCTTGGTGCCAGCAATGGAGGGCGTGCGCTGGGCCTTTTCCTGTGGCGCTTGGCTGCCGAGCCGAGCCGAATGGCTGCTCGCGGTGCGATCGATCCAGCCCGAGGAGAAGGAGCGCATTGGCCAGTTCGTCTTTGCACGCGACGCTAAGGCAGCTTTGGTACTACAGGTCTTTCGTATTGAGGGCCGAGGAAGCAGATGTTGGGGATGGTGGGCCGGGCTGTAGAGACTCCCCCCTCCCACGCTAGCGTCGGCGCCAGTTTGTGGCCGCCCCAGGGCGAGAGTGGTAGGTGCTGCTGACTCTACCGTGTGTGCGCGCGGCCTGGTCTCCACCGTCTTTGTAGTCTCCTCGGAGGCCTCGTCCGCTGTAAATATTAGCCCCTCCCCCGTTGTAATTGAAAATAGAGATCGTGCTAAACCCTAAAATAGGTGTTGAAAAAAGAAAGTAGTTCTTTTTCCCCACAATGTTTTTTTTTTCTTATTTTTAAGTTATCAAAATTTATTTTTCCTTGCTTGGGCCCATAGCACATTCTTAGCCTGTTAAGTATCCTACCATTATCCATTCTCCTGCACGTGATAGGCCCTAAGAAATATTGACAGTATGACTTACTTTAGCCTTGCACGCCGTGGAACTGGAAGAGTCCAGCCTCCTTTACCAGGGAAACTTAAGTCAAGGAAGGATGCAGTCCTAGGCATACCTTTCTGACTAAATAGCTTGGAAAACAGTACTTTAGATATAATTGTTTATTTTACTTACGTATTTTTAGCAACAAATGGAAACGGGTTTCAAAACGACTTCTGTGTATATAGCGCAGTTTGAAACAGCTTCTAATTACCATCAAAGACTGTTACCTTGAAAATGTTCCTCTGTCAAAGCACTTTTTCTTTTGAAATGTGGGCTGATTGATTTTTGAAGGTATATTGGTGAATATTTTTATACTTTCTGTAATTTGTAAGAAATTGTGAAATTCAAAGTCGTGCAGTATTTAAAAGTCATTGTTTAGAACTGAAGGGAAAAAAACTTGGAAGATTTTTCAAAATATTATATGCCTTGTTATACCCTTAGGTATTTTTGTGTGATTTTAGTCATTTCTTTTTTAAAATATACATATATTTTTAAAATTTATTTAATTTATTTATTTTTGGCCGCGTTGGGTCTTCGTTGCTGCACACGGGCTTTCTCTAGTTGCGGCGGGGGGGGGGGGGGGGGGGGGCTACTCTTAGTTACCGTGTGCGGGCTTCAGTAGTTGTGGCACGTGGGTTCAGTAGTAGTGGCTCGTGGGCTCTAGAGCACCGGCTCAGTATTTGTGGCACACAGGCTTAGTTACTCTGTGGCATGTGGGATCTTCCCAGACCAGGGCTCGAACCCATGTCCCCTGCGTTGGCAGGTAGATTCTCAACCACTGTGCCACCAGGGAAGCCCCATTTCTTTCTTAACAATTAATGGAGGGAGAGAGTGGATGGGGTATATGTGAAAAAAGATAGGTCATGCATTGCTAATTGTTGAGCCCAGTGCTAAGTATATATGATCTAGAAATACATGCACATATGCACAAAGATGTAAGTACAACAAGGTTGCTCAATGGGGAATTTTTTTATAATAGTAAAACTAGAGCCAGCCTAAAATATCCAACAATAGGGGAATAGTCAAGTTGTGGTACCTTGATAGTATGAAATGCACAGGCCAGATGGTTATATACAAACATAAAATAATCCCCAACACTTAGAAATTTAAAAGATTATACATGGTAGAATAGTACATATAGTAGGATTTCATATAAATGGATAGATAGTAAAAGCAAATGAACATATTTTGGGTACTTAGAGAAAAGACTGGATGAATACTTGATAACATTGGTTGGTTACTTGTTAAGGGGAGGGAGGGAATTGCTAAAGAGGGACTTTAAGTTGTCTGTCTTCATAAGCATTTCTTAAATCTTAAAGCAGCGTATTTAATACTTATGTACTTTTTAAAAACTTTAAGAAATGAATATTTTAGAAACCACAAAAATAGACTTTGTATGTTATAGGCAGTGTTACCTAAATCTTTAGTATAGACATCAATACTTAACAAATGTTTTATTAACAGGCTGGTCGTCTGATGATGAGGAAATTAGTTGCAGAGAAATTGAATATACCTTGGAATAATATTCGTTTGCAAAGAACTGCTAAAGGAAAACCAGTCCTTGCGAAAGACTCATTGAATCCTTACCCCAATTTCAACTTTAACATCTCTCATCAAGGAGACTATGCTGTACTTGCTGCGGAGTCTGAGCTACAAGTTGGAATTGATATAATGAAGACTAGTTTTCCAGGTAATGTTGCATTTTTGTAGTACAAGAGTTATTAAGTGTCTTCTCTTAGTTCTTACCTGTTGAATAATATCAGACAAGGAGATGTAGATATTTAAGTTTAGGAAAAAGGTGCTCATACTCAAGGGTAGTATATCTGAGAGAGCAGGGTATTGTCGACTGAAAAAAATGCACAACCCAAAACTTGAGAATTATTCTGCAGACTTTCTGAGGACTCAAGTCCGGGAAGCAGCCTCTCAAATAGCTCTGAGAGACTGCTCCAAAGAGATAAGGGAGGAACCAGGATATATAGGAGTTTTTTGCAACAAAAACCCGGTAGTCAGAACATAAAAAGATTACTGTTAATTAAAGAAAACCAGATATTTCATTAATGAATTTAGCGCTTTTCTATGTATGGGAAGATGCAAGAGTTTGGGCTTACTGAAATTATTCGTTTGATATGCACCTTAACTGTCTAGGGCCAGTATCCTGCTTTTCTCCATCCTGAATCCCCTCAGGGTGCACAGTTGGGGGTGGCTGTTGGCTTGAGGGCCCCAACATCCTTTGTTTACTATATATTTTCTTGAATGTTAACAGACTTCTACATAAAAGATCCTTCCTTACTGGGGATTCATATAATACTTTGCCTAGAGGCAAAGTGAAAACAAAGGTTTTCTTTTTGAATTATACCTCAGCTTGTTAAGTAAGACTAAATTTGAAACTTCTCAAAGACTGTTAAATTTTCTAAAGAACAGTTTTTCCATAGCTCAATATTTTTTATTTAAGTAATAGATGTTCAATCAAATTGAACTCAACAGGGAGTCAATTTTGAGTATCATTCTATTAAAAAAATAGTAATTATATGTATTGTAAGAACTTGGTTTCATTTAAGTCTTTCCCAGAATTAACCAATTAGTTGTTGGTTTGTTTAAAAACTAATAATCTCACTGGTAAAGTATATTGTAGTCCTTAAGTAGAGATAACATGTATTTGTACTGTATCTAAATATAGCTCTTTGTAGCACATTTATATAAATGGAAATGAAGAGCAAGCAATTATTAAAATATTTTAAGTTGTTTATATTTTGCCTTAGAAATTTGTAATTGGTGGCTGTAGGAACTGCTAACATTTATTGTGGTGTTGACTATACCTAGGTAATTTTACTAGAACACAAGTTCTCTCAACTACTCTATAACTTTCATCATCACTAACATTAGTGTGCACTTACTGTGTGCCATGGCATTTTCCTAAGTGCCTTACGTATATTATGGGGTGGGTGGGACACAGCATACTATCATTTTTATCAGAAGATAAGTAACAGGATAAGAAGAAAGCTGTTAAAATAAGAGACCCAACATTTTCCTAATTTCATAGTGCAGTTCCCTAATCTCCACACTGTGTCTACCACAGGATCTTTGCTTATGTTTCCCTTGGAATGGAATATTTGTAATAACTTTATCCCCCACCCCCATTTCTGCATAGGTAACTTATTTACTGGTTAGCTTTCACTTTAGTCTTACTTTAGGGAATCCTTTGTGGACCTTCAATCTAAGCCAGGTTCTTTTGTTCTAGGCTCTCATAAAGTATATTTCCTTCATTCCGATTATATATTTCATTTTATAATTATTTTTCAGGATGTTGATTTTCTTCCCACTGGTCCTTACAAGCTGTATGAGAGCAGGAACTATGTTAGGTACTTCTGATAGTAGCTATATCTGCTATCACGTCTGGCACCCTACCTAGTTCAAAATAATGTGCAATAAATATTTGTCAAATGAATGAATAAGCACTTTGTGCTGCAGTAGTTAGGCCTCAGAGTATTGCTGTGAGTCTCCTCTCTCATCTTTATTGTCAGTGTCTTAACTTTGAATTTTCCCACCAACAGCTTTTTCTCTGACCTGCTCATAAATCTATTAAACCTCTATTCTTAACTTTGTTCAGAAGGAGGCTATACTAATGATAGCAGGGGTTCTTGACCCTGGATAAGCATCAAGTCATTTTATTTTTAACCTCCTGAAATTGTTTGCTACATTTTGTATGCACAGGTACATTTTTCTGAGAGAGGATCTGGTTTTTGGCAGGGCCATAGAAGGCTTATTGTGAACCTTATCAACGAACCACTGTTACAGAGGATTCAGAGTGAGCATGCAAATGAGCCCATAAACTTCATAGCTTTCTGTGGTCCTTATGTGACCTTTCCCTAAAAATCAGAAATTATTGGAGAGACCATTGCTCCTTAGAATGCAGTCAGTACAATTACACAGTAATGGTTGGCTCATCAGGTTGATTTGATATCTGCTTAGAAATTATGCCTGTGAGACACAGATTTAATTACAGTTGGCTTAATGGGCAATGTTGGCTTACGGTCAATACCAGATAAACAAGTAAGTACTAATTGAAACTTAATAAATGATAGGAAGGTAATTGAGCAAAAAGTGAAGATTCTGTTAATTATATTTTATTAGACTTTTTTTATCCACCATCTTTTTTCATTGCTCTTGTTTGACTAATCACAGTGTCCAGGCCTTTTCCTATTTGGCTGTTTCATTGCCAAAAAGGTATTGATATATCCAGTAATGCATTGGGGAAGAGCTGTTTTCCAGTTGCCATTAGTATTGTTACTGTGTCACTAGTGTCTGAAAGATTAATGGACACAGCATCATTTCTCAGGAAAGTAGACACTGGTTTACTTCACTGGTGATTCATTTGAAATGCTCTGCTTATCAGAGTAAGTGAGGAAATTGAGCAGGGAAAGTTTCCAAGAGTTGCTAAATGGTGCAGGGTAAAACAGTATAGGAGCAAGGGAAGTATAGTACTTTGTTTCGGGCATTGTTATTAGATTATCAACTCTCAAGATGGAGTTAGACTTTGGGGGCATCGTGAGTATATTGTAAGACTCAGTTCTATTACTCCCATTTTGTCTGCAGGTAAACATCATGTAGGAACTTGTGGAGTCTTTCCTTATCACATTAGACATTTCTGCTAGGTGCAGATCATTTCCCGCCATCTCCCGGTTCTCCCATTGCTGCTATGGCAGGGCAGGAGAGAATATATTGATGGATGTAAGAAGTTTTGGGTTTCTCCCTTCTAGCCAGATGCTAGAAGGACCCTATTGTAACCACCACATTATTCTCTACTTAATGGAGAGAGGAAACTTATACAGAAGTAACTGGTGCATACTTGGCACTCAGTAAATAATTGTTTAATGGATATCCAGAGAAGAGGGATTATAAGATATTGGGGGCCCTAGTATAGATAAATTGCCAGTGCAATACAATCCCAACCCTGTGGTCAGGGGTGGGGTGAGGTGTTTTGTGGGTCATCTTTATAATTTGCTGTACCCAATTGAGAAATATTGGTTGTTTTTCCTTCATTTTCTAATTTTTATCTACCACTAAAGGCTTTTGCAGTTAGAAGTATAAAAGTAAGGATTGTATAAAGTATAAAAGTATGAATTGTTCAATTTGGTTCCCATGTTTACAAGGCAAGATAAGAGATACAGTATAAAAATTATTAAAATTTGGGAAAAGACTGAAAATATTTTTCCCCACAGGTTTATACTTTCAAGTTCACATTTTTGTTATAAACTTTGCTGGATATTAATTGGCAGGACAAAAGGACTCAATATTTTGAGATTTAATACTAATTTAATAACTTTGAAATGACTGTATCATAGAACTACTCCTCTTGAACAGTTGTTATGTAAATTATGTACAGTAAGTATAAAGTAAGTGGTGATATTATATGGTAGCTATGGTAGAGCCTATTTGTTGTCTCTTTCCACCATACTATTTATAGCACTATTTTAATAGCTTCCTGTTTGGTTCCCCCTCTTCACTTCTGTTCTCTCTCAGTACATTCTTGGTACAGAGTTAGAGTGGTCTTTAAAAATTTCCTTAAAGCAATTTTCTTAAAACTTTTAGGTTGGTTCATAATAAAATTCAGTCCCTTTAACATGATTTTATCGTCTTATTCTCATTTATCTCTCCATTTGCATTTTTAGCTGCTCTCTGCTCACTATTTTCTGTCCATACTCATCTTTTATTACCTTGAATGTAGTAGACTTTTTCCTGTTCAGGTCATTTCAGAAAAGCTGATCGCTCTGCCTGTTCTTCTCCCCACTCTTTCGTGAGTACCTTAGACATGAAGGATGAGAAGTAGCCAGTACCAGTACCTCCTCAGAAAGGACTCTCCTGACCACCTGATCTTGTTTTCCTTCATGGCCTTTCTCATTTGTAATTATAACTTAGTTATTTGATTATTATCTGTTCTCCTTCATTAAATAAGTTCAGGAGCTATGCTTGTTTTGTTTTTGCTACAGTATACCTAGTACTTAGCAGGGTGTCTAGCACATAGCAGGTGCTCAGTAAATATTGAATGTACAAATAATAGGAGTTCTCAATTTCACATAAAATATTCCTAAAATTTGTTGAAAAATTAAAAAGTGGGTATGCAACTACAGTGAAAAATGATATTCATATCAGATTCTAGTTGGAATATAAACTGTTCTCATCAGTGAGGTGTGATTAAAAATAGTTCTTCCTTCGAATCTTCTTCCTCACCCTGCATTTATCTCCCTAGCTTCTTCTCTCCTGCATTTGCATCCATCAGATTCGGTTTCCAACTTTGTTGCTGCTACAGTCTATAGTGTCCAACTTAAAATTTTTCAACTTTATGATGGTTTAAAAGCAATTCAGTAGAAGCCATACTTTAAATTTTGAATTTTGACATTTTCCTGTGCTAGCCATATGCCATTCCATACTCATAATGCTGGGCAGCAGCAGTGAGCCATAGCTCCCAGTCAGCCACACAATCACGAGGGTAAAACAACTAGTACAACCATTCTGTTTTTCACTTTCAGTACAGTATTCAGTACATTTCATGAGGTATTCAACACTTTATTATAAAATAGTCTTTGTGTTAGATGATTTTGCCCACCTGTAGGCTAATGTAAGTGCTCTGAGCACATTTAAAGTAAGCTAGCCTAAGCTGTGATGTTCCATAGGTTAGGGGTATTAAATGCA